CTGTGGAAACTAGCTGCTCTTCTCGTTTTGTATGTACATCTGGCTGTCGAATGGAGCAGCTGATCTTTGGCTCCCGATCTGCGTTCCACATGTTTTCACTTATAGCACAATTATTTCCACATCCCTCTTTAAAGCGGCAGCTGGAAACACATTTGCATTTGATTCTGTGCCGGAGTCTGTTTATTGGATAGAAGCCCTGCATGATAAATTGTACTAAACGTTGTGACTTGAATTAAGCAGCAATGCGTTACGCTATTAGGCAGCATACACTAGAAGAAAATATATTTACATTGCATTTATTAAAGTATTAGGCTACGTCAAAAACAGATGAAATACCCAAAAGTCTTTAGCACATAATAGAATTTCTAATTGTTTTCTTGTATTGATAAAATATGATGCCTAAGTATTTACTACTTTTATAAAATAGCCTTAAAAATTTTTACATTGTTATTTTTACATTCTTATTTGATAAAATAATTTTCTTAGTGTTCTCTTTATAATGAGGAACACATTAAAAATGTTTTATTCATTGCCTTCAACTTGATTTTGGCTATCCATACTCAACTTTCTCCCTATTGAATAATTTTGAAAACAACAAGTGTCCGAAGGGGAACTATACTCCCCTAAGTATAATTTCAACCTCCCCAAAGACCCCACTTTTCTATTTCCCCTACAATATGGAATGCACTTCACTGCATCATTATACAAGATTATTGTTCGTACTCCATTGAGTGATATTCATTTCAAGATCACTAAAAGTCATTTCACACGAGTATAGAATACCCCTACAAAGTTATCAAATCACAACAGAATTTTAATAGGTTTTAGTTAGATAAAATAAGTTGTACGAGTACAACTAATTATAAAATAATAGTGTAATAGTGTATTATGTCCATTAAGCGATTCAATAATTTTAAAATAAAATAGTTTTTTTTTAATGATTTCGAGTTTGTATATTTGAATGTGTAGTTCGCGTAAAACTACCCAATAGTAATAATCAACAAAATAAAAACAATTTTCTAAAGTAAAAATAATAATTACTTATGCCTAAGATATTTGGTATAAATACTATGTTAACGATAGTGTATTGTGTCCATCTAAGGGACTCCAAAATTGTTTAATTCATAAGTTTATTTTTAATGATATCTAAAATGATTTTGAATTTCTAATTTCGCCTCATTGCAAAAAAGGTAAAGGGCCCCAAAACGTGCAAAACGAATGGCAAATGATCAAGAGTCGTAGGTGCTTTTTCTGCGGGCTGGGATTAACTTGCCATGAATTTCAATTAGGCAAAGGGGTTCTAAATGGGCCAGTGGTTGAAGGGCTCTGGAATCCCATTACGCAGGCAGAAAAACAGCGGATTCTATGGGTTGCTCCGCTGCCAAGTTTCTTCCCAGCTTTGCTCGTTGGGACAAAGAGCAGAAAGAACAAACAAGTCCAGCGGTACTACTCGAAATAATAAACCATGGCAGATAAAGACATCTGGTTGAGGGGAGTGGAGGGGGGCGGTGAGGAGCGGAGCGGTACGGAAAATAGGAGGCACAACAAAAACAATAACCAAATACTTTAAGCCCAAGAACAACCAAACAGGGCATCCAGTTTTTCTAGCCCAACCTTTTTTTTTTTTTTTTTTTTAAATCAAAACAAACCAGCGTGGAATGAAGAAATCCAAGCTAAACGTAAACAACGCAACGGACGGGCGGTAAAAAAAAAATAAAAATAAAAAAATAAAAATAGAGGGGAGTGGCTGGGGGTACGGGCGGAATTGAGTGTGTGTAACTCCAGTAGTGGGCCTCACAAAAAGAAGAAAAAAAAACAACCTCCGACAACCAGTTTGGCCAGTTTCGGCCTCTTCGCCTGCAATTTGTAGCTCTTTGCCTTGTTTTTCGGCTCAGCACAATAGCCCACAAGCCGCAGATCTGCATCTCTCCCATAAAAAAGTTTGCTAGTTTTAAGAAATATGACGATTTAGTCTATTAATTTGTATACAATTTATGGACTTTCTGAAGTACATATCTTTTAAATGTGTTTAAAATTAAAGGTGTTTTATTTTCCACAAAAGTCTGAAAGAATATAAACATTTAGTTAGTTTCTTAATTGATAACCATAACTACTGTCGTTTATATTAAAGATTCAAAAAAATAATTTATAATTTTTTAATTTGCATTTTTCCATTACAATCTAAATGTGGCCAAAAACGGTTTTATTTATACTCTATGATTTTCTGGAGCATAACTTAAAGAATTCTTAAATTAAATTAAATATTCAATCATTTTTGCCTGAACCTATTTAAGAGTTTTATTTATTATCTTAATTATGGAATTTGTTATTATCTTGTCTCAGCTTCTTTAAATTTAAAATACAATTACGATTTAAGACCTAAAGACCAATGACTTAAGTAACAGTATATTTCTAATGAAGATTGTTTAAGAAGTAATTATAGTTTTAGAGACAGCCCAATATCCAATAAGAAAACCAACTGGAATATAATGGAAAAGTTTTGATGACTTGCAAGTTAAGAATAAGTATGTTACCGTCACGTTTTCTGATTCTGCGAAAGAGAGTTTACAATTTTTGGAAAATTAGAAAACCCGACCAACCCAAAAGTATACCTAGGTATTTAACGAAATTGTTAGTGAATACTCCCAAATATATTTAATAAATAGCATAAAAGTATACACATGCAAACAAGGCTTGCTTTAACCAGAATAAAGGGCTGTCTAAAGCCAATTGGGATTGTAAAATTCCGTATTAAGTATTACTTAGACCAGCAACTTTTCACTGGCAAAAACCTCTCCGCTTTGCCAACAATTATATCAGCTGACTCAGCAGCTGACTGACGAACCAGACCAGGCCAAAGTTAAAGCCAAAGCCCATCTTCAACCTCAACTTCAACTTCAACTTGGGACTGTGCTGTCAAAATCATATGGCAAGACCCGAACCCACCTGAATGTCTCTTCATCTGTTCGCGTTCGTGATGGCACTTTGGCTTCTTTAATGGTATAAAATCGAGATGATTTTAGATTAAGAACTTTTAACTTTTATGTCTATTTAGATTGCCACAAAAGTTATAAGTTAAGTTTTAGATTAAGAAGTTACAACTTTTAGTTCTAGTTAGATTTATTGCATCGGTAATTACGGATTACAGATTGAGAGAGATACGGATTAATATTTAAAACCTAAGAATGGTCATTTATAATTTACATTTTAAGAAATGTATGCGATATGCGACACTTTGATGGACGTTTCAATCAAAAATTATAATTTAATGAATAAGCCAGGAGTATTCAAAATTTATGTGATATGATTCAAACAATTAAGGGCTTACTTGTAAAATACAATTTGAATGAAAACTTATATTTCTTATAACTTATTTCTTGTTAATATATTTTGTAGGTGGAAAATTCAGATCACCATATTTTCTAAGTACATATATAAGGAATTTATTAGAATTAATATTGGTTTAATATTTAGCTACTCGTGTTTCTGTAATTCCGGCAGCACTGGGCGGTGGTAAAAGTCGGTTTCTAGGGCCAACTAACTCTTTCCCTGCCCAAGAGCTTTCCCCCCGTGTCATGTCATGTAGAGAGCATAATGGCACCCAAACTGCGATGGAGTGTAGAGGGGTAGGGGGATGGGGAGGGGCGGGAGCTCGGAGTAATTACCGGTGAACCCAAGCGGACCGCAGCAGCAGAGCTCCAAGTGATCTCCGCCTGACAGCTGACGCTCGTACCCAGAGCGTTGACTGATTTATGAAGACACTTTTGCAAGTCGCCCAACTTGATTTTCATAAACCGTTACGGCACTGAGTTTTTGCATGTCTATCAGTCATATTCGCATGGTATCCCAAGTTTTAAGATACCCTTACAACAATAAAGTCAATTATAATCAATCAATTCGCGCCAATAATAATTAAGGTTTTCTCAAACCTTTGTGGCGAAATGTCTGCCAAATTAATAGAAACAAAAGTATTACTCTGTTGCCGATTTTTATACCCTTCATACTTGTTTTTTGTAAGTTATTTAATATATTATATATTTTATAAATAGTTTTAATCTCTTTTAAAAGCCCGTCTTCTCCTTTAAAAAAACTAAAATCTTAGGAACTTTAAAACCAAGAATAATTAAGTGATCCACTCTTATTCAAATTCCTTCAGACTTTTTCCTTTTCCAGCAATAAAAAAAGTCTTTATATAAAAGAATGTATCTTATTGATTGTAAATTTATTAAACATTGTTCTTTTTCTAAAAGACAATCTAAAGAGTATCCCAAAGTGAATCCATTTGCTGTCGGATTTCTAAATTTTAGTCTATTGCCGGTGTACGAATACTTACTGAAGTGTCTCGTACGGTTTGAGCCATGTTTGTTGCCAGGCAGCAAATAGCTGGCTGGCTGTTTGGCTGTTTGGCTGCCTGTCCCCAGCTTTGTCTTTGTCTTGTCTTGGCCCAACTTGTGTTTTTGGCCCGGTCTGGTTGGTCTGCTCCGCTGGCTTTGGCTCTGTTCGACTGGGTTTTGTTTGGTAACCATGATCGCCAGATCTTCTGGGTGATTCAAACGAACAGAGATGGCCCAGTTGCCGGCTGTTGGCTGGGTTTAATTTTGAGTTTGAGTGCGGGGTTAATCGCCAGCGTAATGGTAATGATCGTGTTTGCTGCTCCAAATCAGCTGATTGGCTATGTCTGATAATGATGAGTAAGCGCTTTCAATCCACTGCCTTTGCTTTGAATTTGTGCCTTAAAAGTTGTTCTTAGCTCCGCGATTGCTGGTATAGATTATAGACTGTATAATGCCCATATATCAAAGGTGGCAGTAAAAATAAAAGAAAAAGAGATGCGAAATTAAGGCTTAACTTCATGTAGGCAAAACTATTGTATTAAATTTGTGGAAAAGTTTAAAGTACGTTTATTAGAAACTCTTGCTAATCCGATTGTGAGATTTTTTCTTTGGAATTAAAAGTTATAAAAATATCTTTGACTAACCAATCACAACTAAACCAAAATACAGTACTCATAAATGTGTCAAACAAAATTCACATAGTAATACACTAACTACAAACAATTTCAAACAAATTAAGAAGCTGCATACAAAACTCATTCGATAACAATATATTAAAATTCCAAGAGTGATAAATACAGAGGTTAAACTAAAACAGCAATGCCGCACTTTGACTTGAATGGACATCCTTACCGTCGGCGGTTTCTTTACCAGCGGAATCTCGATTTGGGTCACCACCACGCCGGTGACTTTGCCGAGGAGGATGAGGATCCTCGGCTGAGGGGCATCCTGCGGAGCACCAGTTGCCGGCGACATCGTGAACGATTGCGTTCCAGCCGGCAATCGAACATCCTCCAAGGACTTTCCATCGCAGCGGCAGTGATTGTTGTCGTTATCCTGCTGCTCCTCCTGGGAATCGAGATGACCACCGTGCAGATGGATGATCCCAAACAGCAGGAAGAAGGACTCTGGACTGGAGCTCTTAGACTACTGGGTTTGAAGCAGGAAGAAGATCAGGTGGCAGCAAATTCGTACCTGCAAACAAGTGTGAGCATCTGTATTATTTGCTTAAAAACCTTTATGGCTCTTTACAATTTCGCCAGTCTTTGAATAACCAAATGAACATAAGCTTTAACCTCCAAAGCGTAGCTCAGACATCTATTTATATCTTTTATAAAAAGGCAGTCGCAAAAGAAAGTCACTTTTGAATGGAACAAAAAAAGTCTTAGGGGAACCATATTTGTAAAGGTAGATTTAAAATTAAGTGAAGTAATGTATCTTTCTTTGAAATTATTTTTGTAATACGTCGATTGGATTATTTTTAATTTTTAGCTTTTGGTAAAGGCTACGAGAGAATGTTCATTAAGATTTCAGATTAAATTTATTGTTTGTTTATGACCGGGTCTTGTTCACCTGTTGCTTGCTCATATTATAGTTTTTTAAAGAAGTAAATAGTTGAATGTGTAAAAGGGAAATTTAAGAAATATTAATAAATTAATTTAATGTTTATTTGCTTATATTAATGAAAATGTAGTTTTCTAAGAGATTTCGGTGCCCAGATTTCAAATTGACCTTAAGTATTGGAAAAACAACTTTTTAACTCCGAGATTCAAATCCAGCACACTGAAATCTTGTAGAAAAGTTTTCATTATTAAAATAAGGAAACCTTTTTTTTATTTTTGAATCATTATTTCTTGTTAATATTTTACTTTTTCTTCATCCAAATTAATACTTAAAATTGTCTGCTTTTTTTAATGAATTAATATCGAAACTTATTTGTATAGAAATGAGTTTGACGGTGCTTTGAATTACTTTAAATTAAGTTTGTTTTACCGCAGGCTGGGTTCTGCAGTCCGCAGGCTCTGGACTTGCGGCGGATCTTCCGGCACTTGAGCAGAGTGGTGCTCAACCAGGAGCAGGCGCTGGCCAGGATGGAGCGGGCACTGAGCGGTACAGGACGTTTCCGATCGGTGGCACTGCTGGGTCCGCCGGGCGTGGGAAAAACGCTGACGGCCAACGCCCTGCGGCATTGTTTTCCCTGGCCGGGAAATGCTCATTCGTACTCCTGGCGCACTCGAGTTCCGGATGAGGCGAGGAAATTCCGACTGGTAAGGCAGTTCGCCGACGGACTATCGAATTGCGGGGTGAATCTGCTGATCATCGACAATCTGGAGACCTGCGATCACGGACTGGTGCCCATCTACAATCGACTGATTCTCGAGCGGGAAGGCGATCTCAACCGGAATCAAACGGTCCTGGTCGTCTACGTTTTCAATCTGGAATCGGATCTGTACTGGGAGCAGTTTGAGTTGCTGCAGGAACTGCCAGCGGAGACCACAATAGTGAACTTTAGGTTCTTCAATCACGATGATCTGCTGGATTGTCTGGCCAGTGAGTTAAAAAGGGAGCAGCGAATTCTCAGCAAGGAGCAGGAATCCCTAGTTCTCGAGGAGGCCACGAAGAATGTCCAAGTCTCTGGATGCAAAAGCCTGCGACTGCTAATCCTGCAAAATGCAGTCAAACCATAAAAATAGTAATCAGTCATGTCAATGTCGTAAAAATAGGCATTAGTTTCGTTTAATTGTCACAGATTTTATGGTCGTCTAATTGCTTTTATGTAAATAATTTAAATTTTAACATTTATAAGATGTAAATCTGGCAGTAACTATAAGTAAAGGAACAACTTAAAAATCATGTCTTGTATCTTATTAATATAAATAGGAATTACGAAATCTAATTTACTAACTAGTAGTAGCATTTTATTCGTTAGAGATTTTATTTAAAAATCTAATAAATATTCGTTTAGACATGGGTTAGAATCGTGCATCTTTCTTACAAGACTAGCCTGCAAATTTTGAATTATGCGTCTCTGAAATGCAATGCAGATAATTATTTAAGCGTGAGACACACACAAGATGCATAAATAAAAGTACTGCACCCATTTATCAAAACAAAAACTAGGAGAAAAATGCAAAGCAAACAAGCACCAAATTGCATTGCTGTAAAGCATGTTTTTTGTTTGCTTTTTTAAAGCATTAAACAATTTTTTTCTGTTTGGCGAGCGAAACTTCTAGGCCGTCGAACGATGTCGCTGCCTTCAATTTGCAAGTTTGAGTCCACTTATTTTCAGTAACAAGTGGGCCTTAAACAAAAAAATAATTATTAAAAAGAATAATTACAAAGTAATATATCTGTTTTATAAATATACAAACTTAGTTGAATTTCATTTTCTTTATTCAGCTATAACTATTCTAAGATATCTATATTTTAAATTCACTAGACTAAATATTAATATTTTTGTTACCTTTTAAAGGCGAACTTATTAAATATTTTTGAAATCAACTGAAGCTTAAATTGAATTTCTGTCAATTGTTGACTTTAGGGAGTTGCAAAGTCGGCTACTTCTTAAAAACCACTTCTGCAATGCAAAACGCACACGTTTTCGGCGCCGTGCGTTTCGCCTTTGCATCCGAAAGATACTTTGATGCGAGTGCTAAAGTGTGAGTGCGGTAGCAAGAGCCAACAACCGCATCGAGGCCAGGGTGCACAGAAAAAAATCTTTATTGAATAATTCATTTATCGCTGCATCTAAATTTATTATTCATTGATAAGTCCTAAACTTATTGTTAAGCTAAAAAAGACTGAAAACAATAATGAAGATGTAATGTAAGCACACTAAGACTGATAATTTTTAATTCAAATTATATTTCATAAAACGGATACCCAAAAAACTTTCTTGAAATTCTTAAAATTTCTTTTAAAGAATGCATAAATATATTTTTATTAATTTTATTATTTATTAATTAATAATGATATAATCAAAATAATAAATGTAAACTTAATATATAAGATGTAATGCTTTTTAGAACGTATTCCAAATCTGTAATTATTTTGATTTGAAATGATTTTAAACCATTTATTGACTTTTATAATTTTAATTAAGTATCAAGCTATTGAAAGGTAATACTTAGAAAATGTGAATATATCTGAATCAACATTTGTTAATATTAAAAATTTTTTCTGAGTGCAGTGCAACGTCAAACGAAACGCAGCCAGCGGCTTTTGTAGTTCATGAACGGCCAGCGAACTCGGCGTTCAGCGTTATAATCAAATAAGATTCGACTGCTCAACAGTTCGTGGCAGTTCGATGGGGGGAAAAATCAGGTAAGGGGCATGAAAACCGGGTGGAGGGGCATCTGATATATTTTGTTTTTCCTTTTGCTGTAAACACTGCATTCGCCTGGTCACGTAAGCAGCCATTTCAACGAAGTGGTTTCAGTTTTCGTTGCAGTTGCATAATCCTCCGATTGATTTTGTTTTTGGCTATGCGGAAGATAGACGACTTAGAAACTGCTTGGGAAACAGCGAAGGACAATGTCAGGATTGGAGTTTTATTCAAGAATCATTCATTTCAAATGCATCCAGATAGAAAGCAAACTTCGACCCAAAAATAAAAAAATAAAAATTTAATTCAAAAATTTTGGAGAACTAAACCACAATCATTATGATATATGCCATAATGGAATCGGATGTCTATTAGTTATGAGCTGTTAGTTATGAGCTGAGCAGTGGAGTTTTTTGTTCACTTTTCGGCAAAGCCATTTTATGAAAATTTGAATAGGGGTTACATCATACAAATGAGGGAAAATCGGCCCAAAAATACAAGCCAAGATGAAGATACAGATTTTTAGAGAATTAAACCACAATCATTTAGATATATGCCATTATGAAATCGGATGCCTATTAGAAAAGTTATGAGCTGAACAGTGAAGGTTTTTGGTCACTTTTCAGCCAAGCCATTTTCCGAAAATTTGGAAAGGGGTTAGCTCATAAAAATGACTAAAAATCAACCCAAAAATACAAAACAAGATAGGTATACAGATTTTTAGAGAATTAAACCACAATCATTTAGAAATATGCCACATTGAAATCGGATGTCTGCAAGAAAAGTTATGGGCTTAGAAGTGCGGGTTTTTGGTCACCTTTCAGCAAAAGCCATTTTTCGAAAATTTGGAAAGGGGTTAGCTCATAAAAATGACTAAAAATCAACCCAAAAATACAAAACAAGATAGGTATACAGATTTTTAGAGAATTAAACCACAATCATTTAGAAATATGCCACATTGAAATCGGATGTCTGCAAGAAAAGTTATGGGCTTAGAAGTGCGGGTTTTTGGTCACCTTTCAGCAAAAGCCATTTTTCGAAAATTTGGAAAGGGGTTAGCTCATAAAAATGACTAAAAATCGACGCAAAAATACAAACCAAGATAGGTATACAGATTTTTAGAGAATTAAACCACAATCATTTAGAAATATGCCACATTGAAATCGGATGTCTGTAAGAAAAGTTATGAGCTGAGCAGTGCAGGTTTTTGGTCAATTTTCGACAAAGCCATTTTTCCAAAATTTGGAAAGGGGTTAGCTCATAAAAATGACTAAAAATCAACATAAAAATACAAAACAAGATGAGTATACAAATTTTTAGAGAATAAAACCATAATCATTTAGATATACGACAATATGAAATCGGATGTCTGTACGAAAAGTTATGGGCTTAGAAGTTCAGATTTTTGGTCACTTTTAATTTTTTGATATTTGAAATCGGATTTCTGTAGGAACGAAGTGCAGTTTCTATCCTGTCTGTAAGAATTTATCCGCACAAATGTAGAAAATACAACATATAATTGTTGTAATAATAATTCTCTACATTTTTAATTACCTATTTCAATTGGTGGCGAAAGTGACTTCTCATAAATCGGTCAGTGTGAGCACTCAGTAGTTCAAATAATGTTGATCGGTTGTTGCTGTAAAGTGCAACCTGATAATACTGCTTCGGTCACAAAAAAAAAAACCTAGACACGACGCGAAAGCGCTCTGAGTGCTGCAAATGAATCGCAACTCAAATAAATTAAAGAAATGCAACAAGCCGACATTGTTAGCCTTCGACTATGAGTTTGAGTTGGCTTCGATTGCAGCCAAGTTGCATGAGGAGACAAAATAAATTAAAGAAAAGCCGACGACGGAGACAGAGCCGTCGACTAAGATTGGGATTGAGTCTATTGGACTGCACTTTCAAAAAGTGGACAGAAACGGTTTTTCGACTCATTAAAAACTAAAGGTTTTTCAAGTTCTTACTTGGTCCAAACTAACACAAAATAGTAATTGTTACCAAGAAATGAAATATGGCAATAGGTTTTGAAAATTTTAAATTAAAACAGCTTATTAAAATAAAGACTAATACTAATATTGTACGGGTTCCATGTTTATAAATAAATTTAAATAAAAAAAAAAATTAAAATAAAAGAATCATCATTTAAAATGTGTTTTGTTAATTCCAAATTTTCCCAAGTTGGTGGTACTCTGTTATATTATAAATTAAATTAATTTAAGTTCAGAACTAAATATTTTATGTTATTGTTAACTTAAAAATGATATGCTAGTTTTTTCTGAGTGTAGTATAGATACCCGGGCAAACAGGACTTCGACGGCGACAACATGAAACGCCAATCGCCAATTGCACAGCAAATACAACTGACCTGGCCAGTCGAGACTAGACCGGGCCAAAAGCGGTCAGGTAAGTGGAGTACACTCCATGGAGTGTGGATGGGCTCCAATCAGCGGGCAACGGAGAAACGTTCTCGGCTGGGCTGGGAAAACTAGGGGAAGGGAAAGCTGTCGCTCTCTGCATCCGTATCCATGAGATACCCAGGCTATTTAGTCGCACAAAATGTTTCTAATCTGTGCCGCCGTTGACGCTGCCGATAAATACATCCCGTGCTGCTGCCTGTTCGCATTCCCAATTGTACACTGTAAAAAAATTGTTATTAATCACGGGCATTTTAGATTAAAATAAAATTTATTTACTATATCAAAAATCTATCAATTTGGGAGGGAACCTTAATAACCAAGGTTAAGTTGATGGTATTGATGGTTTATTATATTTTAACTTTATTTTTTGAATGATTTGCACTTAGGTAAATGTCTAATCGTTGTCCAACTTTAGTATAAATTATTCTCTGTGCAGATCCATTCCTATTCCCATTCCCAGTCCCATTTCCATTGCCATTCTCATTCTCATCACATCGCAGCACCGTCTTCGTCTCCGTTCGTGTTGGCTAGATTAAATTTCAATTAACACTGTAGATACTCGTACGCGTACACGCACAAATGTGGCAGCCAGCAGCCAGAGTATCAGTTTTTCAATTAGATTTCGCATTAATTAAACGAACACACCGAAGCAGAAGACGTTCGTTCAGTTTGAGCCAGAATTACGATGGCAAAATAATGGGATGAGGTAGCCAAGCATCTGGAATCCAAATTAGTTGCATGCTTTTTTACGCTTTGTCTGGCCATTGAAAGCAATATAAGTCTCTCCTATTCATTATAAATTTTTCTTTATGCTTGCTTTTTAGTGTTACGCGTGAACCAAATAGCAATTAAATCACAAGCCTGGTCCTAAAAATAAGTAAACCTTTTTATATATGGGGCATACAGAGCAGATTCTTTAGTTGGATTTTCAGTTACTTAAATCCTTAAATAAAAAAGGGATAAATTAACCCAAAGATTGCATGCAACATTTACTTCAACGTCAAGCGAGTTGACAGCCCTGATGATTACATGTATTTGCTTACTGGCATAAAAGCACGCACATGCAGCATAAATTATATACTATGTGTATAATACTTATCGACTGC